AAATCAATGCATTGGTCCCTTTAATAATAGAGACGTTGTTTTAAACTTTCTCAGCCTGGGACTCGTCGCCCCCCAGGGGGCCACAAGATGGTCATTGGGGGTCCAAAAAGGCGGGCAAACAAGGGACGAAATGAGAACTGCATTAAATTTTCAATAGAAATTTAGACGTAAAAATCGCTAATAAGTTCACAATTACCACGTTAAAACACCACGAAATCGCCAAATGAGCAAGAATAGCGCTAATAATATCATTTTAAATCCAATCAGAATCCTTGCAATGAAGACATCACAATAGGTGTGTGTATATTAAAAAGATTAATTTATCCCACCGTCTCGCTAAATTTGAAGATTTTTCATGAGAAAACTAAAATATTTGGTGCAGTCTAGTGCTTTAAGTCTTAAATTAAGTCTCACTGGGCAATGGCGGGAAAAGGTACTTAAAAAGGGGCCGCGGCAACAAAATTCACTTAAAAAAGGGGCCACGGTAAAAAAAGATTAAGAACCATTCAGTTTTAAACAATTCAGAGTACCACTCCCATAATACGTCGTAGCCCTTTCAATAACAGAAACATTGTTTTAACCAACTCAGAGTATCATTTCAATAGTAAGTCGTAGAAACAAAAATGGGGAGCGAATGTATCTTGGCGTGTGTAGAGAGATGATATACAGTCAGTTAAAAGCATCCGGAACGGCCAGTAACGCTTCTGAGCAGTGTGTAGATGCATCTCTGCAATTCTAGAAATTTAGAGCAAGGAGTACAGAAGAACTATCAAGAGAATAGGACGAGAACGATGGGTATACAAATAAAACGAATTGACATCGAAAACGAGAAGTGCGGAGGTCTACTCCAGGTACAAGCAGCACTGTTACGGATTTTATCAGCCCATACGACAGAAAATTTGCCGAAGCTAGTGAAAAAACTTAAGAGAATTTGAACTATTTAAAATGATACAAATATAGTGCAAATTGATTAATATTACTCATAAACGTAGGAAAACCATAAGAAATTCAAAATCCGGGTATCGCCCTTTCACCTGCGCAAGTAATCGTCGCTGATCCGAGTTAACAGCCAAAGTTGTTCCGAGTAAAGAAAATTGAATGTTTTTTGGTCTAAGTAACCAACAAGATTGAAAAAAGAGCGGAAAATCTAGGAATGTTTCAGCCCATTTAGCTTTTTTTTTGAAGATAATCAGCAAAAGCAATGTACATGCCTCCTGCAGCTCTAAGCATAATGTATAAAGAAGCAGTATAGTACAGTGTAAAAACCCTGGAAGTCTCAATGGAATGCGATCGATGTGAGGACGAACTTCCTGCAGTGCACTCGACAGCTGGACAATATAAAAATTATAATTTCAAGCCTCCAACGTTACCTCCCACGCTGCGAGATCGAAAAAAAAGCGAAGGCTAAAAGCATTTCGGAAAAGCGGCTCATTCTGAGCTGTCAACTTTTGGCTCTTTTTATACTTTCTGCTGCTGGGGGACCTAATCTAATCCGAGTTTTTAGTGGGAGCCCCAAGCCGATTGCACAACACACAAACTGGTTTCCACACCACGTTGGTTGTCACATGGCCATAACAAAGAATGTCAACCAGCAGGGCCCGATTTCGCAACCGAAAACGAGTTTTCAATATGCACTTGCAGAGCCTGCTTTTGCTGTCCTGCAGTACTTATTTTTGAACTCCACGACTGATCTCGGTGGTACAGGCAGAGTTTAAATCCATAACCCGAGCAGCTCATTTCACAATCCCCAACAACGATTTAAAAAAAAGGCAAATTTAGAGGTGTACCGCGATTAATCACTATGCAGTAGAGCAAAAATTTCCGGCACTACTAATCTGCAGTGGGAGAAGTTTAAGCACAGAAGGATACAGAATACTGACTGTGCGGTCTGAAGGAATAGTACGAATGACAAGGGTGAAGAAAAATAATATAGTAATTATCATTATAATGATAACAACAATGATAACGACAACAATAATCGTTGTTATTATTAATAATAGTAACAGTAATAATAATGAGTATAATAGCGACAACAATAATCATTACTGTTAATAATAACAGTGATAATACTAACAGTAATACTAATAATAGTAACAATAATAACAATAATAGGAGCAACTAGACGAAGCGATCTGTGAAAATTTTCAACCAAAAACCTCGAGAATCCCACAACACAGAGATTATCTCTCAACTGCTATATGCTCGCAAATAAGGGAGGGGCAGGGGGCGAAGATGTGTCATCGAGGGCAGATTAAAGTTAACTGGCGGAGTGAACAGAGTTTACGCGCTCCGGAATTGCAATGACCTTGAAAAACCACATTCCATCGCATCTATTCGCCCTAACCTCTGCCCCTACCCTTATTTTTACGGTACAA